TCTCTCTCTCTCTCTATCTCTCTCTCTCTCTCTCTCTCTCTCTCTCTCTCTCTCTCTCTCTCTCTCTCTCTCTCTCTCTCTCTCTCTCTCTCTCTCTCTCTCTCTCTCTCTCTCTCTCTCTCTCTCTCTCTCTTAGTTCTTCACTTCTCTCCCGCACTTCTCTCACATCTCCATGTCCATTCCTCTCTATTTATCTATCTCTAATTAGCTTAAATGAATTAACTGTTTTATAAACGTACGTTTTATTTAATTTTTTAAGTTTACGCAGTAAAAAATTATTTTAAAAGCTTAATATAATAAAATAAATAATTTAAAATTAAATGCGTTTAGTATTATTGGATTGATTTCGGTTTCATCTCGGAACTCGGTAAAAAGAGTAACCTTGTTGTTACCCCTCTTAGGGATTTTGGCTTGATGTCCATTCATATAGGAGGTGAAATGTGTGTGATATTTTTCTATTTAAGTGAAATATGCACATTTGATGGCTACAAACTTGTCTTGGTAAACAACAGAGATGAAACATGGGATCGCCCTACTAGGGCAGCCTCATTTTGGGACAATGGCAATTGTATTAGTGGTGAGATATATGATATTGATATGCAGCCAAGTCAATGAAAATGTTTTTTGTTTTTTTAACTAGTAGCAGTAGTATCAGTAGTAGGCCTACTTACTAAAAAGACTAATTGCTTGAGTTGACTAGTACTCTGATTGTAGCATAGCGACTACCACTACTAATGGGCCTAAGGGGGCGCTAAGCCAAATCATAAATGTCTTAAACTTAAATGATACTGAGACTGAGTGACTTCTCTCTAATTCTAATGAGTACTTTGTTATTTGTTAAAACTAATACTAATATAATAGCAGAAATTCTGCTAGAATACGGGCATGAACCAGTTTTTCTCTCCCAAACCCAAGCTGAAGTATATTTTTAGGCATGTTCAGTATGTTTAGACACCCGAAGGGAGTACCTGTCTTGTATATTATAATAAATGTTTATAAACTGTTTTTTTTAAAAATGGGAAGCGTTATACGCAGTCGACTGCGCATAACCCTGAGGGTTATTCACAGCCGACTGCCTTTAACTCTCAGGGTTATACGCAGTCGGCTAGGAATTTGGCCAAATTAGGTTATCAATCGCTTGTTTGGCAATTTTTAAAAAAAAGTATTATGCGTAATTAGCTGCATTACGGGTTGTTTTGAACTATAACTTTTAATGTGTTAAAATTGAATTAATTTTAATTAATATTGAAATTGATGATAGCAATAGTATTAGTATTAGTGCAATTATTAGTATTATTGCTTGTATTTTATATATTATAAGTATAAGTCAAAGTCTACATTTCTTAGAGTCTAAGTCTAAGATTTTTTAAAAGGCATTTCTATGGTCTAAGTCTAGTTATGTATTTTGATTGATTAGGTTTTTATATGTTGCTATGACCACGTGGTTAGTTTTACAGACTAATTCAAGAAATACATTCTATTTATTTTTAAAAAAATTGTATCATTTATGATTTTTTTTTTTTTTTTGATGACCTAAATGTAACAGTTTTCAGCTTCCATGCAAAACTATAACTGTGTGAAAGTATTACTTACAGTGCCCCTTCTACAGAACCCCTGCCCCTACAGCGATTTTTTTTACTGCTACTCTCAACCCATGATTATAAATTATATTTATTACTATACCGGAGAAACATGATTTTATCTGCCACAAAATTAGTTAACAACACAAAATATATGTTTAACACAAACATATATTTGATAATTATAAGAATAACATTATTAACATTACATTGGTCAAGTTAATAATTCTTCTCATGTTTTTAACATTTTTTAGCCAAAACAAAAGTAAAACAATAAGCCTAGTTGTTTTTGCTTCATTCTCGAAAACAAACATAGCAACTAACACGTATTCTTGACTTGCCGTAGGCTGGAATTGAACTCAAGACCACCAATTTGAGGTTTGGTCAGTTAGTACCATTCGACCACCCAGTCACCCCGATAACAATGCACCCTTATTGATTGATACTGTAAAACAGGAAGAATATAGACCTCACGTGACTTGCCGACTGCGTATAACTCTCAGGGTTATACGCAGTCGGCTGTGCATAACCACTTCGTTTTTAAATTGTGAAGTCCATGAAGTGACTGCTGTTACATTTTATTGGATGTAATTTGCTGTGCTGTTATATTTCACATGTGGTACCAGTAGTTAAAATGTTTTATATGGCTTCATATTGAAAACAGTATGGTTGTTCAATTTTTATCTTTAAAAAAAGAAAATCGACTTTAAAAATGGTATACAAAATTAACAGCAAATAAAAATAACTAAAAATTTTTTTTTAATTATAAATAACTCATTCATTTTTTATACTTACAAATAAGATAGTTTTAATTTTGTTCAAAATTATAATTTTTTTTTTAGTTTATCTCAGGTATATATAAAGGAATTTATATGGAATTATTACCACAAATTAAACTTTTTCGAGTTAATCACCATTGCCATCAACGTCATACATCTGTACATCTCATCCCCAGGTCTTGATGAAATGCCAGATCGATCTGGTGGAACATGGCTAGGAATGAACAAGGATGGCA